TTGTCAAATCCTTAATTTGCTAATACGTAAAGCCCATCTTTTCTGGGAGCCCTAGTATTTGGCCTCATTTGATTGACATTTAATTAATATACTGTAGAGAATGTAATCCGTTTTTTTATTAGTCAGAAGAGTGAGGATAAGAAACTGACAAAGGTCAAATAGGTCCTAAATTCTATTTTTTTTGCAAACTTAATTTAAATTAAAATAGTATACTGTAAAGGAGTGCAATATCCAGAGATGTCCATAAGACTCAAAATGCACCCCTACATTATAGATTTCAGTGGCAATTTCTAATGTGTATATTTTGAGGTAGAAAGTATATATAAAGATTATATCTTCTCAAATTAAATAAATATAGCATTCTCTCCTATATTTTGTTGGTTTCTTTCAAATTCTGCTTGTTGTTGACATTGCATTGCCAACAGCAAAAGTGATGGTTGAGCAGTCCTTTGTGCTGCATAATTCTTGATTTTGTGAAAGTTCAGTGACAGTTCCAGACTCAACCCAAGAGTCCTTAGTTATTCAAACTGATGCAAGGATGGAAAACCAGTTAGGAAGACGATTTGTAAGTTTCAGGAAAGAGAAACTGAGACCAGTGGGATTTTAGATGTTTATTGATAGTTATAAATTTGAGCATCAAAGAATTGCAAAATAATGCAGTAGTTTGAAAAAGTAATTTCTGTTTGTACAAAAACGGTAGGTATAGCTCCTACTTGACAAAAGGAAAGAGATGTAATTTGCTGGTAAAGGATATGTGATACCTCAGGGCTCTCTCTGGCCAGTTGCTGGATGATATATTGCTATTTTGATTAGATTAGGCACAGAGAAAGTTTGAGCACTAATGTGTTTAAGAGGCACAATGAGTGGGCAATTGTGGAAGGGCTGTGGGCCATTTTTGAGGCTGGCTACAAATTGCAAAATTAAGTGTGTGCGCCTTCAAGTTGCTTGTTGACTAGCAGTCCAGATGAATTTTTAAAGAGTTTTCTTAACAAAAAGGTATTTTTTGTCAGTTCCTCCATCTGAAATATAACCGGGAGCACCAGGTGCTCATTGGCAGTCTCCATCTAAGCACCAATCAGGACTGACTGCGCTTAGCTTCAGGTGGGATCTGGTGCGCTTAGGCTATTTAGGAATTACAACTCAAATCACACTAACTAAACATTCTTTAATTTAATTTCAATTTTAAAAAATCAACGTACTTGCACTTAAAACTGAATTAATAAGTGAGCAGCTCTAATGATACGATGCAGTAGTAGTAACTGAATGAGACTGTATTGCATAGTGGAAAGGGGCCATGGTCCAGGATCATAGAACCTTGAAGGATTTTAGCAAGACCATCTTGCAGGAAGTGTAGCCAAAATATGAAATATGTTACATCAGGTTAGAAAGAGTGAAGTCACTTCTCTTTTTTCATCTGGTTATATATTAGCTTATTTTTTTTTTGTTAAATTTTTGCCCCTCTTTTAACAATTTGAAACATTGGCACTAAGGTTTAATTGTCCCTACTAATGTTCTTTGATTTGCTGTGCCCCATGTTGATCTGTTGCTGCCACCACAAGGTACTCTAAATGTAGACAGCAAACAAGTGGAGGAAAGAGACTGTATGGTTAAAGAAGGGGGCAATGTGATGAATAAGAATTGTGGCCATTAGCTTTGCCTTGGTTGAGGAGCAGTGAGCAAGAAAAAGAGTGGAATATGCTGTTCATGGGCAAGGATGAGGTTTATGGGGTCACAGTGAATGAGGGAATTAGAGCAGGGAAGAACTTTATATAATAGTTTCCTGATTTAAAAAAATAAGCAAGACATGCCTCTGATTTTTAGGAGCAGATGGCATATTTTTGGAATACAAAACAGTCCTGGGTTGCTGTGAGTTTTTCACGCTGTATGGCCATGGATACTTCTGGAACATGGCCATACAGCCGAAATACTCACAGCAACCCAGTGATTTCAGCCACGAAAGCCTTTGACAACACATTCAATACAGTCCCCTTATTAGCAGACTTGATAATAGAGGTTCAAGGAATTCATCTCCAAAAAGGAGATTCCACTACTTATAGAACTGTCCAATATATGAAGAACAACAATGATAGAAACAAAGCCGGAAAAAGGACTTGAGATTATCAAAAGAACAACGCAAGAAGAGGACCTGGACGCTCTAACTCCTCTCTTGCCAGATAATCTCAGAAGACATTGGGAAGTTGAGCACTGGGCATGAAGTTTTTTTTCTTCCTCTCTCCGGTTTTCTCGCACCCACTAATCCCCCGCTTATCCCAACGCCATCCCCATGCTCTCCCCTCCCCCCTCCCTACTCCCACACCCCCATACACTCCTTTTTTCTATCCGTTCTATCTTTTTCTCTTTTTCTCTTATCAAGTGTAATATATATAAAACCAATAAAAATTATTTTAAAAAAATAATATACTGTGGAGCATACTGAATGAACCTGCTTAATGCCAAATTGTAATCATCTGTTAATAATAATTCTTTTTCAAAAAAAGTTAAAATATTTGCACATTTCACCTCAGGTATAAGATGCTATTATTTTCATCCTCCCTTGCCCTTTCTCTTCCTTTTTTTTAAAACCCAAATATAGGATTCTAAGCATAAAGCTAGCCTTTTGGAAAAGGGCAAAGTCAAAGGTGGCAACAACTCAATTTACCAGAATGTACGTCAGTGGGTTAAAGCACTATTAGGAAATAACGTTGCTGTAACCTGGAAATGTGCCAGCAATAAGGTGGGTACTTATCCTTATTCTTAATAGGAAATGAACATTAAGTCATTATTTTCCCGAGTTGCCTATTTCAATGGTTTTCTGGTCTGGAGACAGTCTGTGAACATGATAATCAAGTACAAACTCTGAAAATAATTTGAGTTGTAATCTGTGATGTTAAAAAATATTTTCTGCTTTAAAATATAAACACTCAAAAACATGAAAAAATTATTAAAATCAGAAATCTGTCCAGTTCTGTAAATAAGTTCTCAGTGAAGTTATATGACAAATGTGAAGTCATCACAGTACATACTAAAGCAGTGGTTCTCAATCTTCCTCATGCTGTGAATCTTAATACAGTTCCTCATGTTGTGGTGACCCCCAACCATAAAATTATTTTTGTTGCTACTTCATAACTGTAATTTTGCTACTGTTATGAATTGTCATGTAAATATCTGATATGCAAAATTTTCATTCACTGGACTAAATTTGGCACAAATTTGAATACTGGTGGGCTTGAGGCGGGATTGATTTTGTCATTTGGGAGTTGTAGTTGCTGAGATTTATAGTTCACCTACAATCAAAGGGCATTCCGAACTCCATCAACAATGGAATTGAACCAAACTTGGCACACAGAACTCCCATGACCAACAGAAATACTGGGCATTGACCTTGAGTTTTGGAGTTGTAGTTCACCTACATCCAGACAGTACTGTGGACTCAAAAAGATGGATCTGGACCAAACTTGGCTCAACTACTCAATATGCCCAAATGTGAACACTGGTGGAGTTTGGGAAAAACAGACCTTGACATTTGGGAGTTGTAGTTGCTGGGATTTATAGCTCACTTACAATCAAAGAGCATTCTGAACCTCAAGAATGATAGAATTAGGCCAAACTTTCCACTAGAACCCCCATGACCAACAGAAAAAAAAAGTGTTTTCTGATGTCTTTGGTGACCGCTCTGACAACCCCTTGTGACCACCCCCAGGGGTCCTGACTCTCCGGTTGAGAAACACTGCACTAAAATGTTTTATTTTAAACATTTCTTTAAGATGTTTATTTAAATGTTCATTTTTACAACAACAGAAAAATGACAAATGTAGCAAGGAAGACCAAGTAAGTATAACAAATAATAAAATAAAGGTAAAAGTACCCTTTAAAAGGAAACACTTTTAAGAAGGATTTAAGCAATATAGTGGCATATGTTTAGGAAGTTTAAATAATTATTTAACTGTTATAATTATGTAACTGTATCAGAGCTTGAATGGTCTTTTGCAGTTTGGATTTGGTATGAACATTTTTCAGTCAGGGCAATGTCCCAGACATTTTTGGATCAAGCCTGAGTCTTTTTATTTTTAATGACCTTGCTGCCACAAATAGGCATATAATCAGATGTGACTGATAATTTTAAATCTTTAGTGAAGATGATTGATACAGCAATTTGTTACCCAACATAAACAACTGTTTTACAATTAACTTCATATCAGTTTTGAATAGATGCCATCATAGAGGATGACCATTGCATAGGAAAAAGGGGAGCAAAGAAATGCTACAGACCAGATTTATACCCAGGCATGGGCAAACTTCAGCCCTCCAGGTGTTTTGGACTTCACCTCCCAGAATTGCTGTTAGCCAGTAGGCTGTTAGCAATTGTGGGAGTTAGAGTCCAAATACCTGGAGGGCCAAAGTTTGCCCATGCCTGGTGTAGTCCTTTGCATGTGACTTTGTTTTTAAAAATGTTTTTGCACTTTCTTTTTAAGAACTGTGAAAAATAGATCTGTAACATTGACAGAAACACCGTATTTCTTGCTTCATTGTAAAAGAAAAGTTTTAAGTTGCAAATTTTAATCTGCACTTTATCAGTGGACTTTGACTTGTGTTTTAACTCTGCATATTTTGTTATATTTCTTTTAATAGTGCTTTATCTTTTGCTTTAATGATGTTCTATCCTTCCTCAGTTTGCAGGGAGAGGTGGATAATAAATTCATCATCATCATCATCATCATCATTATTATTATTATTATTATACAATTAAATAATGATCTAATATAAATTTGTACATGTACAGGTCAAATACTGTGGAACTCTGTTATCTGATATTATGGCTGAAGTTCATGTTCCTCCGGATCCAAAATTACTGTTGAAGCAGAAAAGTCTACCTGGTATGTACTGATTGAAGGAGTATTCCCACTTTGATGAAAAGACAAAAAAATTGAGGATATTAAGTGTTGACCTCTATCCTACACACTTTCTGTTTAATCACTTTAATCATTTACTATCTTGGAGGGCAGCAGCAGGCAGCTGTCCAGCAAAGAGATGGAATAGAGGGGAGGCATCACAGAAAGAAACAGTGTTTGGACAGACTTGAACGAAAACATTTCCTTTTCTTTTACTAGTAGAAAGAAATTCTCTAGCGCAGGATCATAATCAAGGTAGTGAAGACAATTCCTTTAGCCACAACATCAGTTTCCTCCAAAATATGGAAAATACACAGCAAGACATTGCATCTTTTTCTCAAGAAGGAGAAATCCCACAATCCCGTGAAATAGAATCTGAGGAAATATCTTCATCAGTCATCGAAAAAAGTAAGTTTTAGATTTTTGGAATTAGATATCTCTTGAAGATTTCTCTGTCTCTGTTATGATCCAATGTACTTCTAAGCCAAGATCTCCAAGTAACAGGCCTGTAGCGAGGGGGAGGGGTTAGGGGTTCAACCCCCCCGAAATGTTTCAGATTTTTTTTTAAAAAAAACCTGGTTTACTCATGAATTTTAACTGGTTAACCAAATCCCCATGCTAAGTCTATGAGATGCAAAAAATTAAGAGTCCCTCCAGAACTGCAAGCACTATCTCAAGCAAATATTGACAATTTATTCACACTGTCATTACTTGCAGCAATAGCCGATGTAGCGAAGCAACCAAGTTGGGGGGGGGGGGTTGAATGCTCTCATTAAGGAGGCCAGACTTGGTGGAGGTGGTTGACAGGGGTGGAGCTGCAGGCTATTGAAGGCTGCTCTGCCCCCTGCTGTGCTCTTTGCTTCAGTGTGAGCTAGGAGGCAGGTTTCCACCCCCCCCCCCCTGAAATTTTCAAACCCCCCCCCCAAATTTCAACCCCTCCTGAAACTTTTTTCTGGCTACGGCCCTGCCTAGTAATGCCAACATAAATACATTAAGCAACTGCCTCATCTTTTTTTCTCCTCTCCCCTCTTATTTTGGTAGAAAATTTAAAAGACAAATGAAATTGAGGGTAAAGCATGAAAGGTTGAAAAAAATGGAATATGGCACTACCTAGAGCCTTGCTAAAAATTGTGTGAATGCAGCTGAGTAGATGCACAATGAGTTTTCACTGATTTGAAGCTCTGCATTCTTGTTTCATTCAAGGTATCTGTCTTAGAAATATTTGTTTAGGATTTTAAATAATATTGATAAGACTCACATCATTAATATCCATGTAATATCTATGAGTAAGCTATTATGCAACAGACTGAAGACAGGAAATGGCAGAATCTCACTAGTGGCCAACTAAGACTGCTCAAACACCCATAAACTAAAATCTGTTATGGACAATAACATTTCTAAGCCAACCTCTGTGCGAGAGGATATATGGCCATAAATCTGACATTAGGGTAGAATTACACAAAAAACAGTTGCAGAGCACTTCAGTTTTATTGGGTATTCTGTTTCTGACCTCAGAACAGCTGACCTTGAACAAAGACTAAAAAGGAAGATTGTAAACAGAAACAGACAATAATTTTCTGGCACATTACACATATTATAACGCTAGTTAACCCCAGACTCATGGGCCAATTTATCGCATCTCAGTTCTGGTTCCCAGCCAGCATCATACTATCTCAATAAATCCCTCCACTATTCAAATGCTTATCTATGCATCTCGGTTTTAGTTTACGTCTTTCCTTCTACATTTGTCCACCAGTAACCATTTAAAACTGAAGTAGTCACCTCATTGCCATACCTGCAAGTTTTGCATTCCTATCATTCTTCCTTCACACAGACAAGCCTGCCTATACAGATCTGTTCCTAGGCACTTCACTCCATGCATCTGAGGCAGTAGACTTCATCCACAAAAGTTTATGCTGCCAGCTTTTCTCTTTCAGTTAGTCTCTAGGGTGCTATATGATTCCTTTGCATATTGCTATTCCAGAACAACTCAGCTATGTCTCTGTATTCTGCCTCCATGGAAAAATGCACATTAATGTATCCTTCTTCCTCTTTACATGTTATTCAATAAGTAAAAATATTTTTTCCATGAAGAGTTGTTCGATCTGCTGAGCCTCCGACTATACTCTTCTTTGATGGAAGTTTAATTTACACCTTCTAGGCATCACATGATAGCTGGAGTTTGTTGTTGTTTATTCATTCAGTCTCTTCCAGCTCTTTGTGACCTCATGGACCAGAGCTCCCTGTCGGTGGTCACTAACCCTAGATCTTTCAAGGTCAAGCCAGTCTTTCAAGGTCAAGCCAGTCATCTATCCATCTTGCCCTTGGTTGGCCCCTCTTCCTTTTTCCTTCCATTTTTCCCAGTATCATTATCTTCCCCAAGATTTCCTGTCTTCTCATGATGTGGCCAAAGTACTTCATCTTTCCTCCAGTGAGCAGGCAGGCTTTATTTCCTAAAGTATGGACTGGCTTGGTTGTTTAGCTGGAGTAGGTCCATCTTATTCTTGTTCAGCACAAGAAATCAAGAGCTTGATTCTCTCAAAGAGAAAGCTGTCTAGCTGATATCTGAAGAACTTCAGAGATTTATTCTAACATTTTTAGCAGGAATCGATACTTCTGTAAGCAATTTAATATCTATGCCTTCTGAGGCCTCAAAGAAGAAATGTTTGTACTCAGCTCTGTGACACTGACAATTCTTTAGTTATATGAAGAACATTATCAAGACAATTCAGTCTTTGTGATGGTCACAGTTATCCACTTGTGAACATCCCGGGTAATTCAGAACCACATCAGATTATCATTTTCTTGTAGCTACACTTGAAACCTTCTAATTTGATAAGCACTCATTGACAGACACTCATTACTGGATTCCAACTACTTATGGCTATTATTATTATTATTTATTTCAGGAGTGGGCATCTTCCAGGGATCAGGAAAATTTTTCATGCCCCCTCATTAGACTTCTTTGGAAGGCTGCATTCTTACTATACTCCCACCATCCAAAATTGTGGCTTTTTAAAAGGCAGTTTTGAGCTCAAGAGAGACTTTTTTGCATTGGGTAATCAACAATAAGAGCCATAAAAGACATATATTTTGAAAAATACAAAAAAGAAAGAAAAATGGGGGAAAACCTTGTATGCATTGGTGATGTGTTCTGGCAACCTAAAATATAGCCTTGAGAGGCTGCATAAGATCCAAAGGTTATAGATTCTTCATGTCTTTTTTTGCCCCATTATGTTAGTTGTCTGTATAAGAGTGCATTTAACCACTACTTAGCAGCTGCAAATCTGCTTGGTGCTACTAGATATACTGCAACCCTGAGGCAGTCTCCTTATTCTCTGCCATGTGGAATCTTTTTACAACTGCACATCTTACTTTTAAGATAAAAAAAAACTGCTGATCTTTCAACCTTATATACAATACATTCTATTAATGTAACTAAAATGAGGTGATATGATATGTCATTTCATCCCATAATTCCATCTCACTTGGGCGGAAGACTTGAAAAATATGCCAGATTTCTAGGAGCCAGCACCATAATATAGACGTATAAGTATGATGAAATTTAAATATAAATGTTAAAATTACCAAAGCAAGAGATTTGATTTTTAAATCTGAAACCTCATATGTCTGTGAAAGTGGGAAATTAGCCTGTGATAACAAAGGGCCTCTTGGTGCGCAGTGGGTCAAACCGCTGAGCTGCTGAACTTGCTGACTAAAAGATTGGTGGTTCGAATTGGGGGAGAGGGGAGAGCTCCTGCTATTAGTCGCAGCTTCCACCAACCTAGCAGTTTGAAAACATGCAAATGTGAGTAGATCAATAGGTACTGCTTTGGCAGGAAGGTAACAGCACTCCATGCAGTCATACTGGCCACATGACCTTGGAGGCATCTATGGACAATTCCAACTCTTTGCTTAGAAATGGAGATGAGCAGCACCTCCCAGAGTTGGACACGACTAGACTTAATGTCAAGGGGAAACCTTTACCTTTACCTTAATTAACTCAAAGAAAATTTGTTTTGTCCCATACATTTTAATGATGTGGGAGTATTACAGGTGACATTAAAACAATAACTACAGCTTTCAGTTACCTGTGGGTTAACTTATTAATCTCCTATTTCTGCAAAGCACATGTTCTCTCTATTGTCGAAGGCTTTCATGGCCAGAATCAATGGGTTGTTGTAGGTATTTCGGGCTATATGGCCATGTTCTAGAAGCATTCTCTCCTGACGTTTCGCCTGCGTCTATGGCAGGCATCCTCAGAGGTTGTGAGGTTGCCTGCCATAGATGCAGGTGAAATGTCAGGAGAGAATGCTTTTAGAACATGACCATACAGTCTGAAAAACCAACAACAACCCATATGTTCTCTAGTTTCTCTATTTACTATTGAAGGCTCTTTGTTTTCAAATAATTATTGGTTTTTTTATATTTCATTGTCTTTCATAATTAAGTCTAGTCTGGACTGTTTAAAAAGAATTTAACAAAGTTCTAAGTTTGCTCTTTTGCATTCATCTAATATGCTGTATTATATAATAAAACCCATGCTTGAGGTATATATTACGAGAACGCACAGACATACCAGAATGAAAGCCAAAGCCAAAATAGAACATTTAACTATGTGAACATATGGCTGCAAACAGCATCCTCTTAGTAAACATCTACTTTACTTCTGCAATGAATCTTTCAAAATAAAGCTGATTGCTTTTTAAATAACAAATACTTGTGGTGTGCATGTGCTGATATAGTGTTAAATTGGTTTGACAGTGAAAGGTTTAATCAGGAATTAGGTCTTAAAATAGGGAGAGCATCTGGACAGTGACATGTGAAATATAGTTTTGCCAAGAATCTTCTTTGAGGCATTATTTTAAAATATGACATCTGTTTGAGCTGAGTTTTCTAACTCGTACGAGCATCTTCCCTAAGGATAGCTTTCCATCTTGCTTTTGGTAGACAAAGGCAGTCAAACGCAACCCACTTATCCAACATAAACAGGCTGGCAGAACATTGGATAAACAAAAATGTTGGATAATAAGGATGGATTAAGGAAAACCTATTAAATGGCAAATTACGTTATGATTTTACAAATTAAGCACCAAAACATCATGTTTTACGACACATTGACAGAAAAAGCAGTTCAATACGTGGTGACATTATGTAGTAATTACTGTATTTACAAATTCAGCACTAAAACATTGCAATGTATTGAAACACTTGTGGTTCCAGGTGGGAGGCAGACTGCGTTGGATAATACAGAACGCTGGATGAGTGAAGGTTGGATAAGTGAGACTGTACTGTATTTAGAAACTTTCTAAACCATTTTTTTCTGATGGCACAATATTGTAGCATGAGAAGAGCACATGTTGATTTTCCAAGTAAAATTTTCTTTTGGAGGAATTCTGGATTATATT